TACCGATGCCGAAACCAGTGCGGATGGGAATTCAAATAGCTCACACAGACACCCGCACACACACTTAGCAATGGCCAAAGCTACTCAATTGTAATGGCCGCTGGCATAAAATAAAGCTCACAACGAGCAACGCCCAGAAAGGGGCCACGCCCACAAGGCCAACCAACACCTTTTTTATGCGTTTTCATTTGCGGAAGCGTAGGAAATATCTTGCCCACGGGGCGTATTAAAATCAATTCATTTAATTTTGATCAAAGCGAAATAAATCTTTGCGCTTTTTGCTTAATTTCCTACGTTTTCCGAGGGAGGGAAAATGGTGGAAAATCCACAACAACGTCAGTGAGTAATTTGTGTGCGTCTGTGTGTCTGTGCAAGCAAAGTAAGACAAAAAGCACAAGTAACAGAGAAATTCCGTAAGCGAAATGAGAAATCATTAGTAAGTAAAAAGCTTGTCAATGTGTGTGTGTGTGTGGGAGTACAAACACAGACGAAGCGAAGATAAAGACACACATAAAAGGAAAGCGGCGTGTAAAAGTTTTTCCAGCTCCCTGTACTTTTCCTTATCAATGCCAGCGACGGCAACTGAATTAATTTTTCAATTCGCCAAACGAATTCATTGACTTTTTGTGTTCACGTTCACCCATACACCCACAAGCCCATTCACCCTTTCACCCATACACCCGCACAACCAGCTCCTTGCTCACACACACACAGTCAAAGATACTGATGCAGACTCCACGTTCCTGCTGGGGTATTAAAATCCTTTAAACAGATTTCATTTCGAACGCTTTGCGGTCGATAAATGCATTTCACTTTGGTGGTTTTTTACCCACACAAACTTGCACACACACACACACAGTGTACCGTGTTACGTACGCTTTCCCCTGCACATGTGTGAGTGTTTCATTTGGCATTGCATACTTTTCGGCTGCTGCTATCCTTTTCAGTTATTCCGCCTTCGCAGCTGACTCTTTCCAATGATTTGCTGGCAAATTACTTTGAGGTGTTGCCTGCTGTCTCTCGCCTCACTTTGCCACTTTTCCTCGCTTTCCCCCGGCTTTCCCTCTTCTGCTGTACAAAAATTGCCAAATTCATTTCCAAAACAAACATTTAGTATGTGTTTTTGTCCGTATGCGGGTGTGTGTGAGTGTGTTAGTATGCCTGTGTATATGTTAGCTGCAAGTGTTGCCAACCAATTTAAAAGTTTTGCTGTCGCCTTTGCCTGAGCGAAAGTAAAGCGCGCTCTCGCCGTTGTTGTTGCATCATTTGGGGGCAAGCAAAAACAGCCAAGAGCAGGCGGATCACAGCCAGATGGAGATAATACAGCGCAATACAGTGGAAATTATCTAAAGAAAATCCCATCTCGATTGGGTCACAGAAAAAGGCGTTTTTCTTCACCTCAATAAGGACTTCTAAAAAAAATGAAAGTGCAATATTGTTCTTTAAGATCTTTAATACTTTTGATCATTGTATTCAAAAGGTTTCCATTATTTAAAGCACTGGTATTTGAAATTAAATATTCAATAACCTTAGTATTTTAGATTCACTCTAAAGGTGCCAAAAAGTATGCAACAATATTTTAAATACGACAGTATCAATATACTGTTGTCTATAGTCAACGTTTTGCATCTTTTTAACCACATTTATTTATGATACTAAAATTCTATTGAGAAATTTTAAGGATTATTAGATAAAACCGAAATATAATTTAATTTTAGATGACCAAAAGAAATAATACTGCCATAGTTTACCAAGTGATTTTAGGTATCCCTATCTTGCACACCATTCTAGTTTGATACTTCATCGTTCTCTTTATAGATAAAGATTAGCAAAATTTTTTGGGCTTAAATCAGTTTTTGGTTTATAAATAACTTTTAAGTTACAAAAATTGTGGCTAAAACAATGTTATTCTTGTTTCGTTAACAGCATCATAAAGCAAAGAAATGGTATGAAAATTGCAACTGGCTTAGAACAACCTAAATTTAAGGTGGGTTCTTCAGCATATGGGCAATCTTTTAGGGGTAACTGCCACTGTAGTTGGCCATTAAGGAGGCTGATGCTGTTGTGATGCTCTGGATCTGGATGGTCTGCCTCCACAGCCAACTACTGTGGCACTTGTTGGCTTGGCTGCTGCTGTTGCAGTTGCGACACTTGAGAAACTCGCAGTCGCTGTTTGTTTTTGCAACAGCGGGGTGTAGGTGTAACCCGCCTCCTCTTTTCGCTCTGTGTGTGTGTAAGTGCTGCTCGAAAGTTCATGCACCGTGTGCCACTGCAGCTGTGTGTCTGTGTGGGTGTGCTCTGTGTGTCCTTACTGCATATATAAATTTATATGCATGTGCCTGTTACGCTCTGCTCCTTTCGGTTTGCCGGCAGTTTGGCCGACTCTCTTGCATTTGAATTGGAAATTCAGCGGCGTGCTTAATTTTCAATTTGCAATCATTTGGCCTGGTAATCAATGTTTGCTTTGTCGGTGTGCGGTTGTCGACTTTTTCTAGTTCTCTGCTAATTAGTAACTAAGTGTGGCTCATCACAAAGTCAATTGTCCCTCTTCCCTTTTCCGTATTTGATTCATTTCACTGGGTAACCAGTGGGGTATTTGCTGAACTTTTTCAGATTAAGTGGTTACTCTTTTATCATTTACAAAGTTTAGTATTATTCATTACTACAGAAATTACAAAGTTTTCCAAGCCAACTATAACCTTTTCAGAATAACAAATTTAAATTGGGTAGCACAATTAAACAAATGCTGAAAGAATTTAATATTAAAAATTCTAGTTTGATTTTTTACTGCCAAATTAAATATCAAAGACAAGGTTATGCAAACTTTCAATTGCCAACCACTTTCCTTTTTCCGATGTGTGGTTATCGACTTTTTTTATACCCCTGCTAATTAGCAGCTAAGTGTGGATCATCGCAAAGTCAATTGTCCTGGAAATGACTATCCATGTATATTTTTTTGTGCTGGTTAACCACTAGCGAATTTGCCCCACTTTCGCACTCATTTCTCGGGGTTTTCCCCCAACGACTGGATTTCCCGGACTTCTAGTAAGCCGCCCAGCATTAAGCCAACTTACACAATGGCCGGAACCGGCAGACTCTTCACTTTCGCCCCGGCTCCTATTTATGTGCCCTGCCTTGTGTTGTCTTGTCTAGTAATTTTCTCACACTTTGCAGCCGCTCATCAACGCTCCGTCGGCCAAAGGGAAAGGCAAACTTCGCAGACTCAAGTGTGGAAATTTTCACTTTTTTGCCATAATTAAATTCATTTTCAAGTTGCTCTTGCTGGCTTTCGACTCGACGACTCAACGAGATGCCACACCGAGGCACACTCAACTTTTCACTATTTTTCACTCGTCCTAGTAGTAGACATTTTCCATTTTTCATTACAGTCCAAAGTCGGGCCGCCCGGCTTTTCCTCGTTTCATTTTCATGCAGCTTCCTGTGCCGTTGTTTCCGGTTTCATGCCTGCCAGTGTCTATTTGTGTATAGTTTTTGCCATTAGCAACCGTTGTCGGGCTCAGAGGGTTAAGGGGGTGGCCAACAAATTGGAGAATAGTCCCAGTTTCAATCCCTATCCCTGCCTTTGTTTCCAAGTTTCGGCTTAAGTTGTTTTTAAGTTGTAAATCTCTACGGGCATGCAATTTCCCCTGCCCGCCCGTTTGGGCTGTATCAAATTTTTCATTTGTGGTTAAAAATATGAAAATTGTAACTGATATTTATGCTTGTAATGCCTACGCTTGACATTTTCAGCCCCCTAGGGCTGGTGTCCACAATAATTCATCTCCGAAATGCGTGTTCGAGTTTTGTTATTTGTCGGATTACGTGTGCGAATTCGGCCTCCTGGAATCCGACTCATTCAAAACTGGCCGAAAGTGATACTTGTGCTTTATTGGAATTTTTGAAATCTACCTCCTTGACTTCCGACTGTCTGGGATACGTTTAATTGAATGTGTTGCCAGGATGATTTTGGCCATGTGACGCATACGAAATTTCTATAAATATGAAATACTTTATCGTGCCCTGATATCGATCGCCTCGGGTGGTTTTTGGTTTGAATTGTAATTGTTCAGACATTGATTTGAATACATAAGCTGCTGTCTTTTCAGAGACTGGCTTATTGATGTTTTTGCTTAAAGCTTTGGTTCTATTGGCTAATAGTCTCCGCAATTTAATTGGTGCTTTATTTTAAAATGGCAATATTAATTTTTATTTCCTATTTATAAGTTGCAAAACAAAATTCCATTTAGCTAGAAAAAATATGCACACAATAAAATACGTTTCAGCACAAACAGCATTTTATTAAGATCCAACTAATACGATAAATTACGTTTTTGCCATGGCCGTGTTTGAATGATTTGCTAACTTTTTAAGCCTTCACAAATCCTTGGCTGAGAATGAAATGCAATTATATCGCAAAATAAAATTCATTCAATTAAATCCTAGCTGAAAGCCAATCTGAATACGTTTAGAATTGCAAATGACTGTGCTGACGTTTTTTAAATTAATCTAATACTTGATTTATTTGCTTTTTACATAGTATTTAATTGTTTTGCGCTTTTTCAGAGATCGGGTTTGAAGTTGTTGTTAGTGAATTGAATTTATGGAAAAATAATTTTTCACTTTTTAAAGGATGGCGGGGTACTGTCCTTTCTGTTTTATGTTAATTATACCTTTAAGGGGAATAAATTAAAATGTTCTTAGTTTTATTTTTACCTAAACAAATATATAAACATAGAACTAATTTTTCTACTTTCCATAACTTTAACTCTTCTTACCCATAAATAATAAATTAAATATTGATATTTCAACGAAGACTATTATTGATTTGAAAACTTCCCCCACAATAAAACGGAGATGGTTGTCTGCTGCATTCGAAACACGTCTCAGGGGCAAAATGGCAGCGACATTTCTCAATTTATGCAACACCTTTTACCGGTGGAAATGGCGCCCAAACGGAGGACGTTCAACTCGTCCAACGGAAAACTCGCTTTTCCACTCACCTGGCTTGGAGTTGCTGCCCACGAGCTGCTGCTGCTGCTGTTGCTGCTGCTGCTGCGACATTTGCTGCTGCTGCGAGTGCTGCTGCTGGCCATTGTGCTGCAAATGGGCGGCTGTCACCGACTGCTGCTGCTGCTGCTGTTGCTGCTGGGCGGCTGCTGCGGCCGCTGCTGCGGGATGGATGGCCAGCAGCTTCGTTTCCGGGGGCTTGTGCGGACCCATTGTGATCTGCGGGGCACCCATGGCTATGGTCGGGGCTGGCATCATCAGGGTCGACATGGTCAGCATTATTTGCGAGTGAATTTTGGTCGCTAAACTTGAAACTGGACTCGGGGATGGGGATGCAGTTGCCGTGCCTTTGTCTCTATTGATTCGCTGACCCCTCCGCTGGATCTGAACTCGGTGCCAAAGGTCGTGCGTTAGCCTTTGTCGCCAGCTTTCTCTGGCTCTCGCCTGTGTTTCTGTGTTCTGTATGAAATATGCTCTCGCCTCAACTCTCCTCTATGTATTTTCACTTTTCGTGCTGGCTGGCTTTACTCCTCTTTATATACTACATATATATATATATATATATTTATTGGCATAAGTATGGGGCATGTGGAATTTCATATATTTTTTTTTTATATTCCGCCTTTCCTTTATGTTTCGCTTATGTGTTTGTTCAACCGGAAATACACGAACTCAAGCGCACTTGGCTTGTAATATCGTTTCAGGGATTTCCTTCGCCTTCTGCCTGCCAGTAATCGCAAATTATTCTTTCTTTTCTGTTGTGTCTGCTGGCAGCGGAAATTATAAATATTCCTGTCATGCGAGTAGTACTACGAGTTCTGTGCCTCCCCAGACGTCTTCTGTTTTAATATCAATGTCTGGTATGTAAAATGTCAGGGGGCACAACCGGGAGGAGAAAAATGAAAATATAATAGAAAAATATGGGGGAAAACAACAGGGGAAAATGCCAAACGAAAAAGTGAAGCCCTGCTCAGCCGACTCAAAGTCGCTGGGAAAGTTTCAAGCAGCTGGCTGCAATGGCAATTATTTTGCCGGCAGTTTCTGGCTTTTTGTCGCGCGCGAATTTGCTGGCAACTTTAGAAGTCAGTGACTCCAGAAAAGAGTTGTGGGTGTGTGTACAAATAAATTAAGTAAACTTAAGCTGCTGTGATCGTTCAAAAACTATAGATGCAGAAGCCCAGGCCCAGAATAATTTGCCATTACAGGCAAGGCAATCAGAAAGAAGTCTATGTTGCGAACTACGAACACGAACCAGGCAGACGAGATCAATCGCACACACAGGATATAATTTACAGGATATACAAAGCGTTCGGTATACGTTCGTACTAGACCGCTGGGCGACGCTTTTCTTACTGAACGCCAGGAGCACACGCATTGGCCAAAATTCGGAGGCGCTGCTGCCACTGCAACGACGGCAGAAAGGCTGCCGATTTTCCTGCTGCCGATTTTCCCGCTGCTGCTGCTGTGAAAATCGCTGCTCTGCCGCTCCCGCCGCTGCCGCTGCCTCTGCCGCCGACGAGCGCGACGACGTCGGGATGCGTTTCCCTACATTTCTCTTCGGCGGCCAGGACCTCGGCAGTCGGCGGCACGAAGCTGGCTGCCATCGTTCATGAAATATTCACGAATGGCTCGCTCTCACTCGCGCCGCCTGTATCCCTGCTCCTTGCTGAATCCTGGCTCTCCGGCCCCCTCTCCGTCCCCCTCTTCATCCATCGTCGCCAACTGGCTCGTTTCCTCGCTCCGGGCGCCATTCACAAGTTCGGCCGCCTCGTCCTTTTTGGTCCTTTCGGCTCCTTTCGCCGCAGAGCGCAGAATCCGAGCGGCCGAGAGGGCAGGCCTTTTCGAAAGCGCCAGCCACATTTGAATTTCTGGGGAAAACTTTGTTTGGGGTTTTAAATTATTTCCTTAACAAAAGTTTTACTAAAATATTTTCAAAATAATCTTAATAGTTTGCTTAAAATATTTCTTTTTAAGTGTTTACCTTTTAATTTTTACCTAACCCATTATAAACGATTTTTATTGCTACCCATGGTCTTTCATTGAAGTTCGAAAAATATACTTTATCCTCCCTTCTAATCGAAAATCCCAGTATTTTTATGGCACAGCATTAAAACTGTTATACACTTGACTTCCAAAACGAATGTAAGGAACAGAACCTTTTGTTATTTTTGAATCCGTGAAAAACCAATTTAAATTTTCATATATGAAATAAAAGGTAAAATTATTTTAATTAAAATGTACTGGATATTTTTCATTTTAAATATTATGCTTTCTTCTACAATATGTTTAATGATATCACAGATCACGATGTTCTTCATTGTAAGAATTTTTCCATTAAAATTTGTTATACATTTTAATAATTTATAGGCATTTTTTTTGTTAATCCTAATTGTCGTTTACTACAAAACCATCATATAATTAAAAACAAACCCGACAAATAAACTAGTTGCAAACTAAATGTTTCTGGTGAGTGTCAGTCTGGGCACATTCAAATGTCAAACATTGTGAAGAGGGTAAGGATAAATCACAGCTTTAAAACAATGGGACTCATGCCAAAAGGAGTCTTTGGCAGACTGAGCTTTTTTTAAAAAAATACATAATACTACAGAGTCCCATGAGGTGAGTATATCTCCTTTTCTTGCCGATTTCCTTGCCTTAATTGTAGCCCTGGATCGTAATGCAAACAGGACACCAAAAAGGATGCAATTTCAGGTGCAGCTCCCCATTACTGCACTCACTTTATTCCTCGTTATTATTTCTTTTTTTGCGTTATTAACATACTTTCTCGTGTCGACAGCGGTGACGGGGACTGCGACCGAGACGTTGACGGTGTTTTGAGGTAATGTTGCAAAGAGCACTGCTCGAAAAAGTGTAAGGACCGCCAACGAAACGGGAGAAGGGAAAAATACATAATTACATGTAATTTACCATGCGACATTATCATTGTTCTGCTCGTATTTAGCATAGAATCAACGTCGCACGGCACAGACGTCGAGTGTCCATGGAATATCTCGTGCAGCGGACAACGGGTCCTGAATGTCCTTTGTCCTTGCTTCTCCACTCATATGGAACTACACGGAGAAAAAGGTACAACATCTTCGAGTTCTCTAAATATTTACAGATTTAAACAAAATATGGTATGAAAAATGTTTGGATTTTTGTATACTTACATTTTGTATACCTAGATTTAAAAAGAATAGATTTTAAATTCATGGTTAAATTAAAGTTAAAGAACTTTGTAACTTTTGATTAAGTTATGTTCTTTACATTCATGGACATTAAAATTGTATTTCCCTTAAAGCATAAGTACAGATTTCTCACACTCATTGATAAATACAATTACATAGATATTTCTAGTTCAAACGAAATAAACACAGTAACACTAATGACAATCAACAATATTTAAAAAATAATTGCTTCGATCCATTTATTTTGTAAATCAAACTAATTGAGGGAGTCAGAAAATAAGAGCTCCAATAATGATCCTTTCAAAATAACAAAATACTACTCCTTATAATAATGCTACTTTGCAAGCAAGAAATAGTGATTGAAAATTCGAACCTGATCGGCTTAGAGTTTCCCATTTTATATTTCTTTTCGTGTAGTATTGCATGTGCTTAAATGCAACAAAAACAGCAGCAACTTCACGTAATAACAAAAGTGAAGTAAACAATAAGAAGAGGCCGTTAGAGGAGCGATGCAAAAGACGAGTTTGCCGCTTTCCTTCTTATTTTCCCTCTCTCTCTGCATGTCCTTCCATGCACTTGTGTGTGTGATGACAATTGCCCTTTGAATTTTTTAAATCCCTTTAAATGAAAACAACAACAGGAATAGGAATCCCCCTGGCTTTTGGCCTTTTGTTCTTCGAGTTGCGCTTGTTAGGTAAATCAGCGCCAGAGTTTGTATGTGTATGGGTGGTGTCCTTTTGTGCGCTGGTGTGTGTGAGTGAGCCTTTGCAGCAACAACAGCGAGCAGAGAACAACAACAATATCATCGTGCGGAAAGTTATAACGTGCTTAAGCGTCTTTAGCTGAAATGAGGCTAAAAATATTTGCTTATAATGAAGTGCACGCCTGTGTTGGTGTGAGTGTGAGTGTGACCTGTGACCATGCACAAGTACACCCATACATTCATTTGTTTGTTTGTTTGTTTGTCACTGTGTGTGTGTGGCGACATAACAATAGCGCATTCGGTACCATTGTTGTTGTTTCACTCGAGGAGGACCCATACACCCCTCTTATAAGCAGAAAATTAAGGCATTGTTAAAGCCAATTAGGGTATTTAGTCGAGATTCCCGTCGCAGAAAGCAGTGTGGACACAACACGGCGTATGCGTGATATTTCAAGGCGGATGGCAGCTGTCAAGGATAAAAGCGCGAAACCGAGGGGAAAACTTCATGGGCGTTTTCTTGGAAGCCTATCAAAAGGGAAGATGCATTTGTGTTTTAATGAGATGCACAAAGAACAATATTTCAATATAAAAAGTAAGTACACAACCAACTATTTGTCACCTTAAAATGTTTCATTGTAAGTGGAATAATATGATTTAATTCCTTAACCACTTCAACCCTATTTAATATAAAACAAATGCTTAAGAGGCTTTCCATTTATCGAACAAAAGCGCTTAAGTCTTTAAGACCAAAGTTTTAAGTGCAAATTAATCGGGTTCGAGCCAAATCAAGCCCTGGGAAACTAAGCCACAACAAACATGCCACTTCTTGACATAACCAATTGCCTGGGCTGGAGCCAAATAGGTCGAATTCAGATCCTTTGAAGGACAATGGGATAGACCCGAAGCCAACATGAGCAAATGTTGATGGCGGATCCTTTTGGGGGCCAAAAGAACTAAGCACCTTTTGGGAGGACTTGCCACATTGATGGCTCAACAAGGAATTTGTGAATTTCGGGCACCCGAAAACTGCCACTAAATAAATACACGTTTTCGCAGGCTCAAGACGAGTACGACCGGCCCCGAAATAAGTAAATTATTTATGCAGACCCTCTTTGGTCTTAGGTGCCACCTAATGGGGGTCACACTTGGAGATTTAAATTTTTAAATAGGTGTGTCAGATAATGAAAATAAGTACCCGACAGGGGAGTTTTCCAGCATCAGCACCACAGCAGGGAAAAGTACGAGCGTTTTCCGTGCTGCTGCGGTGTGTCACAGTTTTGTGTTTTTGTGTTTTCCCCCGCTTTTCCAAACTCCACTTTTCCTTCTGGCCTGCTGATGTGGACACGGCTTGTAGGCCGCCGCCATTTGCCTTTTAACTTGGCTAACGATAATTTGTTTGGCAACTGGCGGCGTTGCCGCTGCGTAATGAATTTTTATGCCCCTTTAATGTACTTTACGCAGATATGAAATTATGTGACCAAAGCGACCGAATTCAGAGCCCCGACTTCAGAGCCCATCCCGTCATTTTGAGCTCTTTGCCCGGTCGAGCGACCGCCTGCCATGTTAATTATTAATATTTTTTAATTAAAATGTGCACTAGCCACGAAAACACAAACATGCCTGCTAGGCAAACACGAACGGGTGCTAAAAGCGTTCACAAAAAGCAAGTCAAACACAAATAAAATCTCACACACTGCCATAAAGGGAAATAAAGAATAAGCAAGCACTAAATCAACACAGAGTTCTGGTGGGGCAAAAAATTTTGGATTTAAAATGGAGCGACTGCCAGCTCGTCAGTCTGCGGTCTGCCAGATAAATCTCCAGTGGGTCTGCCTCTGAATCTGAATCCGAATCCGAGTCTGGATTGGGGCAGGAAAATGCCCGCATGAATTATCGCATTCAAATATAAAGCCTGCGCGGAGTCCTCTGGCCAAGAACGAGCCGTATTTTCTGCCCTTGTGCGAGTGCGCCCAACTTAATGTAGCGCGAAATAACTCGAATAATTCAAATGTGAAACTGTAGCAAATCGTGGTGTTCATATATTCCGCCTGTCCCATTATGCATGACCAAATTATGACTGCCAATAATCAAGAGCGAAGGCGCGAACATTTACAGTCAGTTCTGCCGGCGAAAGAGTTACGCACCCTTCACTCGATTATATTTGGGTTTGGTTTATCGTGGCCATTAAAGCGAAATGGTGTCTATAAGTAAAGGGCAACGAAAGGGAGTCGAGGGTATTCTGCGGAAAAGATATATTCAGTATTGAACTGTCTAAAGTGAACGATAAGTGTCTTTTATTCGTAATGAACCTTCAGCTAAGTAAGCTTTGAAAGCTAAAAACTTAAATAATAATAATCGGATATTTTATAATGCCAGAAACCATAAACAGTATATTTAAGATATTGTATCTGAAAAATGTAATTGTGTTAAGGTAAGTTTTCCAAGATTTTTT